ACCATACTTACACAGCTCTATTTTCAACTTTTGTATCTACATTTACATTTAATAATATGCCCACTCATTGGTACCCTAACAGGACATCGGAAGAATCATGAAGAGATGCAGTCTGCAGGGCATTCACCACTGCTAAAGAAAACAGAGCACCGGGAACTCTGGGCTTACTGAATATTTTTAGGTCCTGCCTGGTGGTTTCATGCTAGTTTACTAGCAGTGACTTTCTTTTTTAACTTTGCAAAACACCAGTTTTCAGTATTTTTTTCCCTTAATTTCTCGCCTGTTATTATGTCACAAGGAACTAACAAGCCATTTCTCCTTCTCCCTTCTCTGTTCTTTTCGATAAAGAGGTCGCATCGCAGCCTACCATTGATTTCCCATCTGTCCCAGTCACCGCAAGAAGTGTCATCTCGCACTGGTACTGAGCTGTCCTTCATGAGGGCTGTATCTGTCACACAGATGCCGGGGAAGCCCTTGACCCCTGGCTCTATGTGATCCCCAGTACAGCACTACAAACTAACTTAACTCAAAGAACTGGGGATAGAGAGAAGAAACCCAAGAAACACATCATTCAGAAACTCCCTAAGTTTATCAGTCAGCAAGCCAGGAATAAAAGATATGGCATCCCTGAAACACAGCAAAAAATACACACCAGTGGGAAACAAATCACCAGCAAATAACTGGTTCTCATCTCTCACTTTCTGCTTTGGTCTCTCCATTTAGATGAATTGTAACCAAGAGCACTGAAAACTCTTTTTAAGGAAAGAGGAATGAAATAAAGATAGAGAAAAAGATAATCTTTTAATTCAAGCTCTGTCATAGAAAAGTGAAGTCTAACTTTGCCCATTTTTTTTTTGAATTGTCAGAGCGAGGAGGAATTTCCCAAACACCATAAAAATTCCAGATTTTCATGTTAAAAGAAATGTTGACTGTATTTGATAATGCACTAAGGGTTGACCTCAGTTTTGTGAAATCTGATTCCTGATAAACAGGAGGCTCCTGTCCTTGCCACTGGCTTGCTCCAGGGCTCAGGCTGCATAATAACAAGGCCCCTCTGGACTGTGGTTCAAGGTGGGCATATGAAATAAAGTATTTAACACATCCATAATAACTTTCATGTCCATAGCTCAAACAGCTTTATAAAATCCAATTAATTCATCAAGCTTCATAAAGTCTGAAGGACATACATAATTATCGCTCTACATGTGGTCAACCCCTGGCAGCAAGCACTCAGACATGGGGCTTAACAGCATGCAGATTTAACTGTCCAGTTCTTGAACTTTCATGCACCTACACCTACAGGCATGCAGGGGCATGACAAAGAATCTCTGAATCACCAGCAAATTCTATGAATTGTGAGTTGGGTTAAGAATGGGCACAGAAAAGAATGATCTCATTGCCAACACCCAAAAGAATCCTTGCTATCTCTGCTTGGGTAAAGAGGGTTTAGATCTAATTAGGAGAGGGCTCTCCCATCTGCATGCTTGGGTTGGAAGTGCAAAGTCACTTGGTAGAAGTCTTTGTGTGGCATGCCAAATGAAATCTACAGAATTCATGTTAAACAGAAATAACTTAGATTTTTTAAATATCTATGTGTAATATGTATTATTTATTTTAAAATACTAAATAAACACTAAACCAGCATTTGCAATGCATAACTCATTTCCCAGATGAAGTGAGGCACTTTTTCAAGCTGATATTGAGACAAAAATGTCCTGCTTGGAATAACTTGCTTACTGGGGAAGGCTGGTTTGCTAGTTACAAAAGAGTGCAAATATCTTTGTGATTAAAATAGATAGTTTACCAACAGAAAAGTGCACTATCAAAAACATTATGAGTGGGGGCGTTTGGGTGGCTCCGTCGTTAAGTGTCTGCCTTCCGCTCAGATCATGATCCCAGGACCCTGGGATCGAGCCCTGCATCAGGCTCCCTGCTCAGCGGGGAGTCTACTTCTCCCTCTCCCTCTGCCGCTCCCCCTGCTTGTGTTCCCTTTCTCGCTGTGGCTATTTTTCACCATGGAAAATTTAACGGATGCCTACTGATCTTAAAATCTTAAAAAACAACAACAACAATATGAGCAGAGGCACAAATGATATGTGTCCTAAGAGTTTCTTCCAGGACACCGGTTTTCCCTCAGTGAATTTATCAGTGAGAGGTATAGGATTGTATAGAGATCTCAAGTGTCAGCCTCACATAATGTAAACTCAAAGTCTGATCTGAGCTGATTTGAGTCTGATGTAGCTGACCCTGTACAAATAATCCCTCTTCTCTGAACCTTGGGTTCCTTATAGGAACATGAGAATAATAATACCTGCTTCTCATGGGGTTGTCGAAATTACTAAATGGCAAAAAAAAAAAAAAAAAAAAATCTAAAAAGTGCCTATTAGGTTTCCAATAAATTACTGAATGTATTTTTTAAATCATTTCTTCCATATCCCCCATACATCCCAAACTCACTGAACACTTTTAAAGCCTGGAAAGAACACTACTAGGTGGGAGAGATATTGGACATGCCCTATTCTCAGGTGATGAAGCCTTGTCATAAATGACCACTACATAGGAGGACAGAAAAAGGAAACAGCTAGTTGGTCCTCACCCATTCCAGTCCCTACTCCCTGGGAAGTAGGGGAATAGTAAGAAGTCACTCTCCTCATGATTGCTAGCAGCTTTTCTTCAGTGGGTGGAAGCTCTAGAAAACAAATTTGATCTCAATTTAAGGACTGTCAAAATGATTATAGCTCTCTGATAACAGGACACATGTGTTAGTAAATAGTAGATCTTCAGCCCTAGAGGTGGGATTTTCCTACCACTTTAGGTATTCAAGCAAATGGTGACCACAGTAGAGCTCTGACAATACATAAACTAATCAAATGAACTATGCTTTCATATGCCTTGCCTTGTGAAATCCTCAAAATAAATCTGTGAACTTAATATTTGTACCCTCCATGTTATAGGTTAGGCCAACAGTGGTTTAAGAAGTTGGACCAAATACTGGTGGATGCCCAGCTTTTGGGGATACTGTAGAGTGATATCATAGGTAGTCCATAATGTGAATCAGTCCTTCAATTTTCATAATAACTGTATATATGACTGATACCATTCTAGAGTGTAGACTAGGTGGGATATATGGCAAGACAACACCCAGAAGAGCCCATTCAATCCCAGAATTCTACCATTCCTGTTTCTAGAATTATGATCTTGTCTCAAATAGACTTAGTCTGACTTCAAAACTCCTGTATCTAAGATAGTCCTATTAGTGCTTCTTTCTAGTTTTACTGATGCCAAGGCACTGAGAGAATATCAGTTAAAATCTTCTTTTCTAGGCTGAACTTACTGATGCTTACTACATGCCAGGCTAAGTACTTAACGTAAATCTGTCATTCTCACAACAACCCTATAGGATGAGAACTGTTACTGTTAGCTTGCCCATAAAGAAACTAAGGCACAGAGAATGGAGCAGCTTTCTGAATGGCACACAGCTAGTGAAGGTAGGGCTGAGAATCAAAACCAGATGTCTTTAACTCCGAATGTGCCATCTTGATCACTCTGCTATGTGGTACCGTATATAGAGCTCCGACTTATTTCAAGGAAGACAAATTCTAGACTTACGATAATGATAAAAGTCTCACTGAGGGCATGCATATGTGAATAAATACTGTTGGCCAAGAATGATTAACAAACTCAAAATATATATTTTATCTGAGGTGAATACATTTAAAAAAATTGAAGGCTCGGACGCCTGGGTGGCTCAGTTGGTTAAGCTTCTGCCTTCGGCTCAGGTCATGATCCTGGAGTCCCAGGATCAAGTCCCACATCGGGCTCCCTGATCAGCAGGGAGTCTGCTTCTCCCTCCTACCCTCCCCCCTCTCATGTACTCGCTCTCTCTCATTCTCTCTCTTTCAAATAAATAAATAAAATCTTTAAAAAAAAAATTGAAGGCTTCATCTTTGCACTGTTTAGAATTATTAGCACATGCCATATTGATAATAAACACGTAAAATTTTAAATAATGCCATTCTGAAACATTTTTACATATTTTAGTCCTGGGAGAGAAAAACTTTTTTTCTATTTTTCTTAGAAGCTCATTGGCTGACAGGAAAAACAAAATTAGACTAACAATTTAGTCCTCTCGTTCCAAACTTAATTAAAGATATGAAGCACCAGATCACTTGTTGTAAAAGTAACTTAGAAGTCAGAATACAGCATACTTTTATGTGTAGCATTTAACGTTATATATTACAATTTAGTAATTTATTATGGATAATTAAGAAGGCCAGAGAGAAAAAGAAGACAGAGAAAGGCATTCCAGACCTGAGAAGGGGCAACAGATGGATGCAGATAAACCAAGGGAAAACTGAATGAAACATAAGCACACAATGCACAAAAAATGCACACGTCCACACCACATGGGGGTACATCCTTAAAAAAGAGACAGAGAAAGATGATTCTTAATGGGTATATAGTAAATGGTTCATTAATGAGGAAGCAAGCCCAGGACGTACATTTTCATTGTTTTATATCCCCATTTTACAGCTTTCTAGGCTTGCAAAATCTGTGCTTTTTCACCATTTCCAGAATAATCCACAGACATTTAGCAGCAGACCAGAGGCCATTAAAGAAATGTTTGCTTTCATTCAGAATGAACACAATCATGTCACTATCATAAACAATCAGGTAAATTTACAAAACTATTGTCAATGATCAGCTAGAACCACTTATTTAAATAAGCCATTAGCCCGCGAATTGGATACTAAACAGAATTCTGGCTCATTAACTTTACAGTTGGCCATTTTTCACCACGGAAAATTTGACGGATGCCTACTGATCTCATGAACATGCATTTTCAAGTTCAAATTCATATCAGAAAGACACAAAAACTGTATCTTGGTGTACTTCAAAATCCATTCAAGAGTCTTTCGCCTTCTACATAAATTGGACTAAATGAACCGTATTTTGTCTGCCATCGTGGGTGCACACCAGCCCCCAAGGCTCCTCAGTACCTGTTGTCTATCCAGACGCATCCTCTTGGCGGCATTCCTGCTTTCACTCTCACAGGCTGAGGCCAAGATACTCTCTGCAACTGCTGAAGTAAGGTGGGAAGGAATAGGTCGAGACTAAAAAAAAAAAAAAAGAGAGAGAGAGAGAAACATGAAAAATTATTAACAGACCAATGTTATTCTCAGAAGAGCTCACAGGCTGTGCAGGAGCATCCATTTATTTCAACTGAACTTATTTCAATAAAAAGAGGAAATGGAAATTGCAAAGATGAGAAATGAAAGCTAGTTAGAGGTTAAAGCTATCGCTGCTACACCGATCCATCACTCATTCCCATAGCTCCATTGTCACAAATAGTCAGTCTGGGCCATTAAGCTGGAGTTTGAATAGGCAGTGACAAAATGCTGACTGGGTTTTGTAAATAAAAGAAGTGCTTTAATTCTCTCGTAACATATGACAATGCACAACAAAACAAAATCAAGTGACGAGGCTGAAACATAGTTGGAAAAACTGACAGACACTCAGACCATGTTGAACAAGTTTAATATGAAATATGAATATTTGCAGTCAAAGTTGGGACACAATTGGTAGGATTCAAATCCTCTAAAAATACTTTTTTTAGTATATGTGCTGCTGAAGCGAGCACTAAAAATACTTTGTTTAAATACAAACTAAAACGTCAGTCCTGGAACGATTTCAGTATAATAAAAGTTTGATGTTTTCATATGAGCTGTATGTGTACCTACATGTTTTATTTATAAAATAGGAGTTAATATTATTAACTTAATGGATACATGTTGGAAATCCGTCTTCTATGTAGCCCACGTTGAAATTAATTAACCCACCCAACTAAGCTCATAATTAACTTCAAATTGTTTGCAATTCTCCGTATCATTTGTGATAATCAGAAAAGTTTTCCATTTTCTTTTCCCATAATTACATGCAAAATCATCTAACTGAAAGATGAAGTGCTTAATGATATTGAACAGTTTTTTAATGAAGATAAGCAAATGATAAGAAATAACATGACAATTAAGCCAGATAAGATAGCAAAATATGAAATTACAAAATAAAAAATGTCCTTTGGGAAGCTAGCCTATATAGTAACATGCCACCTTAGAGTTTTCAAAGCCTGAATCTCAAATATTTATGGATGCCATTTATTAGAAGTCTCTAACGTAATAGAGACCTTCTAATTTTTTTAAGTGAATAGGAGCATGCCTTTATGGTACTTGATTCACTTTTGCTAACTCTAGCATGTAAAATGTGCTTTAGCAAATTGAACCATAGGGTTTATATCTCAGTACTGAAGAACAGCTAAATTCAGACCATGAGGGCTTTCAAAGGTACTCCTCAGTGGAATTTGTATATTGTATAACAAGACCAGGCTCTGACCTTGCTTGAACTAGGAAACAATTTCTGTAGCTGCCTCAGCCGATCTCCTCATGCTTCCACCTCTAAAGTTACCTCTGTAGACAAAAGGTAGGAAAGGTACAGGGTACTGTCTCCACTGCTAACCCCACGAGATGCCTGGAAGGATGCTTAGACAACCTTGACAATAAAGCATTAAGATACTGGAAATGCTATTTTTGTAAAAGAAAGAAAAGAGAGAGGCCCTTGAAGTGGCAGGTAAATGCAGTGGCATCATTTTGAGAAGGAAATTAGAAAGCCAGGAGTGTGTGCTGGGAACAGAGAGGAGGATCAAATCAGATAAATAATTGAAAATTTAAAAAAAGTAAATGGCCATAAAGATGTAAATATAATTTCAAAATTCATATGGTTTCTTCATTTCATTCTGTACTTCCCTGAGTATGGATAAGATAATCTAGCTCAGAACCAAAATATATTAAGCCACAAAATCAGTGTCTCGTGAAAGGGCAAAGCTTTGGCCACAGCTCAGCTCAAAATTATAATCTAAACCACATGGGAATTAGGTACACAGTGCTGTTTTTCCCAATTGAATTATGTTTGGAGGCAAAGGTGTTATAGAAAAAATGAGAATAAGAACATTCCATAATGAAAAAAGAAAAAATTATTTGATTGTAGCTAACATTATTCAAATAGAAGTGACAGTTCACATCATTATAAACTATATTATTAGACCTTTCATCTGGTTCTGGGGACTGAATTAACACAATCTAAATAAAACATCAGCAGCCTCTCTTTTCTTGATCCAATTATTGATAGTCACATGAAATTCAGAGAGATGTATTCCTGCTCTTCATTATCTTTATTTTTCTCCATCAGGTATTTCCATTCAAAATTAGGAATATATAAAGCTATAGAACTTTATTAAGCTGATTCAATTAAAGTAATAAACACACACCTTCTTAAATGCATAAAAGTCTGTTGAACAGGAGAATAAAAGGTAAAATATCCCTGTAATTAAAATTAGCATTTTATTTCAATTAAAAAAAATTTTTTTTAAAACAAAATGGGAAATAACTTTCACTAGAACAGTAAAAGTTGTTAGGCATGATAATTTATATGATTTCTTTTTCAAAGATAATGATAGGGAGAGTTGAGTCTTTTCCAGATATAGGAAATTGGTCTTCTCAGAAACTAGAATAATGCCCTGGCTGAGAAGGGCTAGATCACTTTTAAGGTCACTGGATAGCCTAATGTTTCAATATTTTGGGGAAAAAAAATCAGCTTAAGATAAAGCAATCACGTACTCTTTTCTATTAAGTGGGAAAAAAATAAGTAGAAGCAAAGATATGTGATAGACATTGCCAGTAGTTAAATAGTATAATTTTGAAAATAGAGTTGTTCTGAGTTTATGCTAGAATTATAACTTGAAAACTGTAAACGGCCACAGAAATCATTCAGTACAAGTTTCTTCACTAAAGTTTGAAGAAACTGAAACCCAGAGAAGTTAAGTGATTTGACCAGATATAGAACCCAGATTTCATGTCTCCCAATTCTCAACCCTTCTACTCTCTAAATTCTGTTCTATACTTAGTACTTTTACCTAATTTATCATTAATATAAAATATTATAGAAAAAATCTTTACACACACACCCTGTTACGCTCAACTAAACAATAAGCAGGCCAAAGCTAACCCTTTACAAGTATGTATTACAATTCAGACATGCTGATTGGAAAGAAAGGCAGAATGAATAAGTCTATGTTACAGTTTAAGAAATAGGTATTTTTCAAAGAACTTACTATATCTTAAGTATATAATGAAATATGTACTTCTAAGTAGAAAATGAGTACCATCCTAATTTAATTTTTAGATAAATATTAATAATACCTATCTCATCCTGAGTGTTAAGATGGCCAGGAATTATAACAAGCAGCTTAGATTCATTATCTAATTTCGTTTTCCAAATAACCCTTGAGAAAAGTACTTCTAATATTCATATTTTAGATGAAAAATAAATTGAAGTTCTGAGAGATTATATAACTTGCCCAAGATGACACAGCTATGTACGTGGAAACACCTGGATTTATATCTAAGACTGATGATAAATTGGGAATAATTCCTAGTAAAGAATTATTCTCAGTTCACAACTAAAGTCTCAGTAAGCTTAAACAAAGCTAGAGACCTTAAATACTACACACTCCTACAGCGGAATCCATTTACAGCTAACCCTATTTTGCATTTAAGCAAAGAATATATTAGGATCTCACCAAAATCCTCCTCTTAAAGGGACTGAGAATCTCCTAATATATTTTGCTATTGATGCTTTAGAACCCTTCTTCATTAAAAGCACAAAAATAAATGTAACTTAGCTCAGTTCTTCATATGTTCTAAATGGATGCCATATAAATTCATAAGAATTTCATGTTGGAGAAACCAGGAGTGCCAAGAAATAACTGTATATGAAACATAAGAAAAGCTTAGTCTCATGCCCAAAATGAGAACGAGGAGCCAGGCAGAGTTCTTGCCTTCCTGTGAGGCAATCTGTTAAAAATCCCCTTGGTTCTAATACTGAGGAGCCAATAATGAATGCCAAAGCTCTTCACGACACACAGAGGTCCGTTACACTGTGCCTGGCTCTAAGATACGAAAAATGAAAGTCTTTTGTTTATTGTTCCTCCATAATTTGACTTTTGTCTATTTCACAGCTCAGGAGTACTTAAGCCAAGATAGTGAGAAGGAAATTAATCAATTTTGCTCCTTAGCAAAGCAATGTTATCATAGAGGAATTTAAAACTATTTAGTGTGAGTTTTGAGAACCACCGTCATCAGAACTCTCCTTTCCTTCGCCACATTGATAGCACAGAGCTTATTCTAATATTGCTGCACTAGGGTCTTCCCGGCAGGTAATTAGCAAAGTGTATCAAGGGCTCTCATCATGGATTCCACGAGGGACAAATGCTGAAAATTCCCTCTTACATCACTAAGAGTGGCCAGAGAACACAAAAGCCTCCACGTAATAATCTGAGAATATTTTGACCAAAAAACCCTCAAATACATAGAATTCAGTAGATAATTTATGAAAAACAACACTTCTGGTTGAATTTAGTTCAGTAAATACACTATTTGGTATATATCTTATAAGATTTAAAAATAATGATTCAAAGATGTATATAATCATACACACTACATGATCTATACCTAGAGTGAGATTTGTTACTTATTTCTTACCCTGGAGATGAGACAGTGCGAATCACCTTCACTAATTACCTCTTCGTAATTAACTGTCATCCTCAACTGGGATGAGTTGATCTTTCCCTAGCACTGTTCTTATTGTAATAATTATCTATGACCAAATCAGTGGTGGTCATTTCATTAAACAGATGGCTAAACTGTCGCATGGAACTTTTGGAGTTGAAAAAGTCACATTTTAATTGGGGACTTAAGATGTGATTGCTGTTGGCACAACATAAAGGTGCCTTTCCTTATATATACATGTAAAACCACCACATCAACAAACTATTCCAATTTTTGGTCATAAGATATAAACTAAACAATGTTAGAGTCCTCTGAACTTTCGCCATACATTTAGGATGCTCCAGTTTTGTTTTTGTTTTTTTTTTTACAATTTTAAAAAAGTAACAAGAAATCATGACTGTAAGACTCTATTCATGGGTTAATAGTACTTATTAGTGGCAAGGCTTGCTAGAATCGAGGGTGCGAGCATTACCAGATCAAGTATTAAATGAGGT